GACTCTCCTTTTTATCATCATGATTAGTAATCAAGGCAGAATCAATCTTTCACAAAGTCTAGTCACAAAGAAAATGTCACACCTGTCACACCTTATGAAAGCAATGGAACTGTACTGATCATAATCCTGTGTAGAACAGACCAACAGTACGACTTTTCCAAAGAAAAAAGGCATTCAGGTGACCATAGGTTGGTGCTAAACTCTGCAGGACAGTGGACCAGAGTTGCCCAGCCCTGGTATAGAGATATACATTATGGGTGCATAAATTAGGCTGCATGTGAGCCAACAATCAAAGCTGTTGCAAAGACTCAGCAGCTGTCACCACACCACAGGTGTCATACAGCTGTCCTCCTTTCCCACCCAGTTAATTCCATGTCCATTCTCTTGTGGTAAAATTTTGGGAGGAGTTTGCCGATCCAAGGATGTGAAGGTGGTGAACTGGACCCTTTTCCTCTTACTAGTGGGTGAGTGTAGGGATTCACTTCGGACTGGTTTTGCTGTAGGGGAACCTACACACAAAACATTAGAGTCGTTTGATACAGAAGACACCTGGCAAGAGGTCCTTTGGGTGAGAGTACCACAAGGCTCTGTATTGGGTCCAATGTCGATCACAGATGTATTATGAGCATCCTGCTGTAACGGGCTTCCAGTGACGTTCATAACCAGCTCAGCATCTGTTCCCAGCCATATCCAATCATGCCGGTGACCAGTCTGCTCAGAAACTTGACCAGGCGTCTGCTTATGCCTAAATTTAACCAAGTATGATACACAATTTACCATAAATACTATGATAGCCAAGCAGAAGACTCCCAGTAATGCATACATCCCGATCTCCAGGTCTGTAAGTGGCCGGTTTGGTAATGGTCCCTCAATGTCATCATCGTCGTCTCCATAGTCATTTTTTGGCTTCTGATTGGGGATTTCCACTTGGGGAGGGTAGTTATTGTAGTTCACTAAGTTCCCAGAAGCTTTCCCAGTGCTCAACACTGAACCCTCAGGAACCTCATTGCTACTCCAGGAAATTCCTGTGCGACCATCGTTGCCAGCTTTTCCTGTACTAAAAAAATTGCCACTATTTAAAATATTCCCAGGTTTACTGACTCCATCCGAGGCATCGTTAGCCCGTCCCATTCCTAAATCATTTGCAATGCTGCCAACAGCTGAGTCTCGCGCTGTCGACTTGGCTGTGGTGGTGATCTTCAAGGCACTTTCCTCTCGCTCAGACTCTGAATTTCTGCTTGAAACCTGTTCTGGTTGCTGCAGTTTCTTTTCAGAGTCTGCCTCCTCTCCTTCATCACCACGCTTACTGCTGTTGTCTTTCCCAGTGACACCAGCAAGTAGTCCTGTGCTGTTTCCCGTGTCATTATTGTTGGTGCTGCTATTGTCAGGACGTTTGCCGTTTGTCTGGAACTTTACCGTTAAGCTCCCAGTGCCTACAGCTAAAGTGCTTTTGCGCTTGGATTTCTGACAGACCTCACAAATGGTCATCTCGGCTCTCACCAGTGTTCCTTGGCCTTCACCTTCTGCCACTATAGTCATAGGTGAGTCCTGCACAGAGATCACACCCTCATCCAGTGATGTCACAGCCAGACGATAGTGAGTAGGATCATAAATGTCCAGTGGGGTGAGGGAGCCATCGCTAAATTGCAGCCAGGAGCTCAACACTGCCTCCTGCAATAAGAATAAAATTGAATTTGGCCATGTTCTGTATTGTGTCTTGCACATGTAACATGTAGCAAGGACACTGTAAATGTTACTTTTTTTTAATAAATTTTTTTGCTATGGAACCAAAATTGGTATAGAGTGAACCATTCAATTGTTCTAAAATTTGGTACCAACTACAGACTGAAATGTTGGTATCGTGACAACACAAATATATATATATATGTTAGAGCTGTCAGACGATTAAAATTTTTGATGTAATTAATTACATGATGTATTGATGAATTTACCAAAATAACCGCAAATTACATTTGTGTGAAAATAACCCCAAAAGATTATTTAATGCTATTTTTGTGTTAAATCAGAAAGTATTAAGATATTACAAATAGTAGCTTTATTTATTTTATTTTATTCAACATACAGTTTATTACACATAAAGGTTTAGGCTACAATGGCCCAACATGAACTATGGAACATAAAAGAAGATAATTTGAGAAACATCTCAGTTTTTTTTTTTTCGTTTATGAAATGGAAGATATTGGTAACCAAAACAGCTTTGTTACCAACAGTCTTTAAAAGTATTTTTGTTTCACAAAAGAAAGTAAGTCATTCAGGTTTGAGTAGGCCTAAATGATGACATAATTACACATTTTTGGGTGAACTAACCCTAAAAAGTTTTTTTTAATTATTATTTTTTTAATGAAATAATACTCTAAATAAGAAACTAAATCTGCCAGCAGGTGGCGGTAAATTTCTTTATGAGTCATTCATTCGATTTGTTCGAACGGCTGATTCATTGAGAAATTCAGTAAACAGCTCATTTTATGAATGGGGCTTTGAATCACTGATTCACACGATTCATTCAAAACGCAGATTCATTCAGAAACTAAACACCGCTGTGTTGCTCGGAGATGCGCAACAATTCTGTTGTGGCTTTATAGATAATATTTTTGTTGGCAAAACTGAGCAAAAACAGACAATATTGTGTTTAAAATATAACACAATATTAACTTCTTATTTACTGAACTGTTGTATAAAATCACATTTGCACTCGTTATATTAGAGACAAAAACAGCACTCAGTGTGATACTGCTCTCGCTGCTCGTGTAATATCGCTTATCATGTGATATAAATATGAGACAAAAACTCATACAGGAGCATTTTTGCCCCAGTATCTTGATTTTTAGGGCATAACTGAATTTATGGAGTTGTTGCCCTGCATAATATTTGTAAACAGGCAACTGTATGAAATGTAAGATGAAGTACAGGTCTGGGGGCGGGGCCAGTGCGTTAACTGAGTTAAAATATTTTAATCTCAAAGCTTATTTGCATTTAAAGAGACATGCAAAAAACAGCTTGCTATAAACAGAGCTGTTTTTGACAGGGTAAAAAGGGTGTTGTTTTACACTACCATTGAGAAATTTTAACCAAAGTATGTTATAGACTTTCATTAAGACCCTAAAGAATCATATCAAACTGTGGAAAATGGGCATGGCTATTTAATGGCTAAATTAGCAATCCTTTTACTTCCAACCTGTTACCAATTCTTTAGGTTTAAAATGTAAATATACCAAATTTATCAGTTTAAATGTATTCAATATTTATTGTTTGAAAATTGTAAAATCAGACAAATCAGTGTTTTGGACATTAATAGGTGCCCCAAATTTTGGTTAGGATTAAAGTAAGTACTGTTAAATTACTTGTTTAGGATTGCTGAGCACTTCCTGTGTGGTTGCCGTGGCGCTGATGACTCGGTTACTTCCTGTACTGAGCTGCAGGCTGAGTGTGAGACCACTGACCAACTGCAGGCCCAATTCAGTGATGGTCACTCGATCATCCACAACCCTCACCGTCTTCTCTGCCAGGATGGAGTCTGACAATGGGGAAAGGACCTACACAAAGGGAGACACCTGGTTATTGAGGCCTGCATGAGATCAATACTGATTTAGGTGTGGCCTGGTCCATTACCCTTGTCGTATGTAAGCCAAACTCAACAGATTCAATTTTACCTTTATAGACGTGGTGCCCACATCTTGTCCTGACAGAATCCTGCCTGCCTGCAGACGGGCAATATTAGTGTCCTCCACCTTCAGGAAGTACCGCACCAGCCTGGTCACATCCACCTGCCAATCAGAGCCCAGGAAGAAGGCCTGTGGTTCCCGAGGGTCTGACTGCTCTGCCACAAAGTGTGTGAGGACTCGGACCAGAGCATGCTGGAACTGCAGCATACAACCCCGGCCCTTACGATCTTCCTCACTGCTCCAGCCTGGTTTGCTGTCAGGGACATACAGATGTTACTGACAACCCACTTATAGTCATGTAACTCCATCTGTCACCTTTTATGGTCTTCATAACAGCTTAGATAAGGCCTCATTTGGAAATGAACCCACATGCACAAATTTATAAAATTCAAATAATGTTCAAAATGCCTTCAGGCAAGTTCAAAACAGTCATGAGCACGCATGAGACACTGATTAGATCAAACTGAATTAATGAGGAGCTGTTTCTACTTCATGTAATCCATTATGCAATAGTATTTAAACTACTCATAACCTTACACAATCTTATTCACAATTTTTCCACAATTCATAATCTACTTGACCCTGTCTGAAAGTGGATTTAGAATTTAAAAGCATTTTCTGGCTATAATGTTCTAACTCTTACTATTGGATTGTGTTAGTGCTATTTTTTTCAGAGATCTTTACAATCAATGCAATAATTTTTATATTACATAATAATAAATAAAGTCTTGAACATTTCAGATTATTCCCTGTTATTGTAACCCATGTATATTATGGATAATGTGCGTAAAATAGGGAACTGGGATTCCAGAGTATTCAGAATGCTCTTAAAAAAAAAATTATTCAGGTGCTATATATATATATATATATATATATACACGTTTACATTTTGAGTTTTTTTTCCTTTGGCATTTTAATTAAGTTGAGTTTGTTTTCTTTCCCCTGTGGCCCTTTTGGAAGTTTAATGAGGCCCCCTGTTTGAGAATAACTGTTCTAAGCATTTCCACACAAAAAAAAAGTAAAAAGAAAGCAACAGTAAGTAAATAAAAAAGTGCAAAGAGATTTGCAAAAAAAAACAAAAACATTTTTCAGGCAGACAGGATACTTAAATGCATTGTAAGCTGATTACATTTATACAGAAATATTCCTTTATTTGTTATTCAGGACAAATACTAATCACAAATATAGGCGTTAACTAGAAATTGTGCATTTGAATGCGGTCATTGTGTGTTTGTACCTTTTGGTGGACATGATGGGGATCCTCCAGCTCTTGATTTGACTCAGCTCTGTATCAGACACCTCTATATCCAGCGGCAGACGAGGGAACCACACCTGCATCTCCAGCTGAGCACTCAGGTAACTGTAGGTAAAGTTCACCAGCATCCGCAGTCGCCCTTGGGTTTCTTTTCCATTCACATAGACAAAGTTGCATCTGTCGGACACCTGAGGGCATCCAAAAATGTTGTTTTATGTTATTTATAACTCTGAACAAACAGGCTGTTCACACTGTAGTTTTCATGTTCTGCTGGATTAGAACGGACTTGTGTAAGAGGATTTGTTGGTGCTTAGTCCCAGTAAAAACTTGACTTTTGAATCCAAGTATAATTTAGGTTCAGATCAGCATTTACAGTTTTTTCAACTGCTTGAGCTTGTTTTAGTTATTTCCTTTATTAATGAACTCAACTTGAGAGTTTAGAAATTTACAGCAAAATGAAGTAGTGGTTGATCCTTATGCTGCATTTTTAATGTAACCTTTAGACGTTTACTGTCACAGAGTCTCAAAATCACTTAACAGTTCAGCATGGGCTTACCAAATGCATGCCGCCACATGATTAAATCAATTGTATAATTTACGATGCAATTAAATTTGAACAAGATTGAGGATGGCACACAGGGGTGACTTTGACCAACATTGTGTGGAAAAGCAAGTTTGCGTAGCGTAAACAGGTTAGAGAATATGTACTGTATTTATAGGTTAATGTGTATATTGTATGTGTCGCTATGACTTGAGTTGATTGGCAGTTTTACACATGCACAGCTATAAACACAAGGACTATTTACATATACAGGGTTTAATGGATAGCAAATTACATGTTTATGGATGCATAAGATGTCAGAATCCATAATACAGTATTTATGGTTTTTATCCTATTAGTCGACAGACATGGATCTAATGCCGCAGATTTTCACAGAATATGACATTAACATTTCATAATGCATTGACAACACAAGCACCTCTGAGGGTCTATACGTACTATGTGTCCCAAAACGACAGCAGCAAGAACCAGTAGCAGGGAAAGGAAGTAGTTTGCAGAATGTCACATCTACCAAGGTAAAACATGTATTGTTTTGTCTGGTACAGTAGTTGCATAAGTTGCACAGAGGGATGAATAGATGCAAGGATGGCTAGATGGATTGACAGATTAGAAGAGAACTGGAAACTATTTTAATCAACCTTATGTATTACACCCCCTTCTGGATACTTGATTCTGATTGGTCAATTGTGGGCCTTTTGTTAAAAATGTCTTCTCTCGCGAAAGAGTGGAATTTTTCAAAAGTCCAAACTGTGGTGTTTTCTATCACATAATTGGTGCATTTCCCGAAAGCATAGTTAGCCAACTATGTCCGCAAGTTCCGTTGTTACCAACATAGTTCAATGATTCAGTGTTTCCCGAAAGCATAGTTCCAAAAAACATTCGCAAACAGCATCGCAAAGTTGTGTACTTGGAACTACATCTTTCAACTTGTAGAACAAGAAGCATAGTCTCTTGTTAGTATGACACGATTTAAATAGATCATGCTCTTGAGCACAATAAGAATCCCAGAGCAGATTTCTCTCACCAGTGAGGTAAAAACCTGGTGTGGATCTGGAGTGGAGTGATTATAAAACACTTTGATCGCTCAAAGTGTTTTATAATCACTCCACTCCAGATCCCTCTGCTCCACTTGTATAGGCTGTTCTAGACTGGCTTTTGGTCTTTGTGCTGCTTGGTAACATGCAGAGCTTTATGTTTCGCTTTTTCTGGAGCTATTTCGAATGGTGGATGATAAATATATTAACTAACCAGTATTGACATTAATTAAAGCAATACTAAATGTTGTTCCAAACCATATGCTGTTATTTACATGAAAACTCCCAAAAGCATAACTATGTACTAAAACACAACATTAAACAGTTTTTGAAGAATCTGCACACAGCTGTTGTCCATACAACAATGTATACTGTCAATGCTATATCAAGCTCCAAAAGGATAAAAAACACCACAAAAATGAAATGAAAACAGCCCATATACAATCTGTGTGACAAAGTCTTCTGAAGCAAAAATAACAGCACACTGGTTTGGAAAAACATGAGTATGAGTATATTATGGCAGAATTTTCATTTTTGGGGAAACTATTCCAAGCATGAGTCTCATCATGTTTCTTGCTCATGTATAATCTATTCATCTTAAATTTGCATTATTTTTTTTACTGAGAACATCAAAGTAAATGCATTTCTGTGTAATTCTAAGAAATGAGGCCAGAAAGCGATGTTGTCCTTGAATGAGACAGGACTGAAGTTCTTTTAAGTCTCTGATCTTGGCTGCAGTCACAGTGTGGTGCTGAGCTGTCCATTCAGATTACCTCCTCAACAAAGAGGATACAGGCCTCCTGAGTGAGGTCACAACGTGGCTTAATGACTTTCAGAGGACTGTCCCAAGAACACAGGCTCTCAGAGTTACAGAGGTTGCATACACAAGAAAAGACTCTGAGATGTTCTTCTGAGACCTTTTGCCTCTGTCTGACAATGACATGCATTCACAGACACTCCATCTTTCATCTTCGAGTTTATGACAAATATGAAAAACAAATGTGGCAATTTCTTAGAAAAGTAATCTGTTTTATTTCATGTGGTTTTGAAAAAAAACTCTAAAAATGTCATGTGATGTGTACAGATTGTAGTAATTACTTTTAAAACATTTTTAAAATATACTTTTCAAGGTAAAACCTTTTTGTTGTAAATATCATGAATTATTAAATCATAAACATCATGTTTTTACTGAGTCACACAACATGATCTAAACTAATCTTTTCATAAAAAGTCAATTTTTTTTATATTTTAAGGTACTTTCTGACCTTGACACATCGTCATTAAGGTTTGTACAAAAGATTTCTTAAATATTTATTAACAGTGAAGAAATTTAGTTAAAATTATTTATGAATCTATAAAATAATAATAAAATGTATGCAAACTTTTCAATAATGTTTTCTTTTCAATATTTATTTTAATAAGGCTTTTTCTTTCTTCCTTGTGATATCAGAATGTATCATTTTTGACTTAATGCCCTTAAAAGAAATTAAAAACATGCTCATTACAGGAGAGGTGCATTCAAGTCATTGTATGAATTGGATTTTTAATGTCTTTTTGAATTAATTAACAGATATGGACAGAAAATTATCACGTTATTGACCCATTTTTGTCTCACACGTGCACAGAGAATGAGAGTTTGCTATTAGCTTGATATGACTTTGCAGCTGCTGTATCCATGCTGAGATACAAGAGTAAAAACAGTATAATGACTGTACCTTAAGAACATCTTCATCTGTGGAGCTGCAGTCAGCAAATTCAGAGACATCTGTTACAGAACCATCCTGTTCCACAGCAATGGTTCGTACTCCCACCGTAACCCTCTTACCAGTCAGCACGGCAGTGTTCAACAGCTCTGTGTCCTTCACAGGGGACAGGGATCAAAGTTAAATTTTGGATCTTAATACTGAGCTAAGCTTAAACTTTAGCACTCCTATGAATGGAGGTCAGAGATTTGACATGTTATGATAACACTATGCAATCTAGTGATGAAGTTAATGTCCTAATATCAGTGCACTTTTAACACCATTTCACAGGTAAAAAAAATAGTATGTTCAGGGACACAAAGCGGACTTTAGGTTGGAATGGAGTGTGTCAATCTATTTAGATAATCTGGGCCAGAGATGCACTATTTGGACTGATACAACTTTATGTAATCAAAGTCATTTTAATGAGAACAATTGAAAAGCAAAAACGGATTATTTTACGTGACAAAACCCCATTTCCCAATATTGTCTCCAGTGAATGGGAAGCACCAGCTTAGTGGGATAAACCTCTGAACTTTAAAGATCCTGACAGATGCAAAATGCCAGCTCACATAAATTAAACAGGTTTTAAGGAAACAAAGGTCACTTAATTTAACTTTATGTAATGCATTAAAAATAAGCCTAAGCTATATCAATATTGTTTTGCTTAAAATGGAGAAAGGAATTTGCCATTACCATTAGGCTGATCAAACAGCACTATTTTGTTCATGAATAAAAATAGTTAGATTAATTTCTTATCCAATATAATGCTCTCCGAAATGAAAAAATCCCTTGCCCTGTAAAACCGACCTAAAAGCAACCAGCAAGCTGCAAATCATGCATTTCTCACACCCTTGGCTGTCACTGGGGCACTGGTAACACTTTAGTTTAGGGACCAATTCTCACTATTACCTAGTTGCTTATTAGCATGCATATTACTAGCATATTGGCTGTTTATCAGGGTTGCCAGGTTTTCACAACAAAACCCACCCAATTGCTACTCAAAACTAGCCCAATGGCATTTCGACGGGGATCCCCCGGTAAAAATAGTGTTCTGGGGGGGTAAAATACCTGTTTTTTTGACGGGGTTCCCCTGGTAAAATTCGCATTCCAGTGGGTAAATATCACATTAATGGGGAAGCATCAACCCGCGTACATGAAAAACAACCCAGTGTTGAAGTGTTGTTTAACAGTGTTAAAGTAGCCCAATTCCACGGGAAAACTATGGACTTGGCAACACTGTTGTTTATTAGTATTTAAAAAGCAGCAGATTAGGGGTTTACTGAAGAAAAGGTCGTAGTTAATAGTTAGTAAATAGTGAGAATTGGTCCCCAAACTAAAGTGTGACCAACATTTCTTATACTTAAGTTACATTTTTTGTATATCTCTTATAAGTATTAAAAGTAGATAGAACGTATACTCTCCTAAAGAAGTACTGGCAAACATTTTCTGTCCTGAGCTGCTTTCAGATTTCTGGGACAGTGTCCAGCTGTATATTAAGAGCTGCTACAGAAAATCTGATTGATTATGCCTAAATCTGCTCATGTTTGGACACAATCCAAAGGTCAACATGATCGGTCTTGCAGATGAAGCTTATCGCATTTACAAGTTGTGTGTCAGTGTCGAGCCCTTGGTACCCTGCTGGATCAATTCTGTCTTTCAAAATGCCAGTGAATAAGTAATGAAGATGTTTTACAGTCTCAGATAGAAACTTCAGACAGAGACGTTTTATTTATTCATATATTTTTGTTACTATCTTTAATGAATAACCTTAACCTACCACAACTAGAGGAGCCAGGCCTACAAAGTCTCTCTGAGTGGTGTAGATCCTCATGGTGCCTTCAGACGCCCCTATCATTTTGACTTCATCAGGAAGCGTCAACTCCCACTTAATCACCTGAATCTCTGATTGATTGCTGACATCCTCCACTTCAAAATCCATCTGAATAACTGCTTGGAGTTTACTTAATCTGAAACAGAATGTGCCATTAAACACTTCAAGCTATATACTGTAAACCCTTCTGTGATCAAACTGTCAAACTGCTGCATTTGCAAGTTGCTCTGTTTGATTCTACATAACAATTGTACATTGATCATATACCGTTGTTGCCATTCACACAATTTTACTTGCATAATGTGACATATTTCCTAGGGAAAATAAGTAGGGCAGAATGTGGTTTTGGTCATCGGGAACTGATTATATGGTAAAAATTAAATGGGGTCAATTTTGATTTCATGTTGACTTTAAAAGATACATAGCTTTTGGTATCAACCTTTCAGCAATCAGCAAAGCATATCATTTTAACCTCTTGGTAGTGCAATCCTGTCAATGTGCAGCATAATGCTTTCGATAGAACATGGGATCACCCATAATCTGATGCATCTGTCTCAAATTTTAGCTTTAAAATGCACAGCTTTCAAGCTCTGGGGATGAACCAAAGAGTTCAGATGGCTATTTTGTGTCGAAGGCATACTTGTATATAAATGCGTGCATGGATATGTTTGTACAGCCAAAAAGACAATTATTTAAAAAAAACTGGGATTGACATAGAAATGACTTTTGAAAAAGTCCTTGATAAAATAAGCTAGTGATCCTGTGTTCCATAGGAGGACCATGATTTATCACATATGAAACAAAAATAAAAACATGGAACGGGTACACTGAGCATCAATTAATGAATGACACCCAACATTACTCCACAAACTATTGTAAAAATGTCTTAAAGGGTTAGTTCACCCAAAAATGAAAATGAGCTCATAAATTACTCACCCTCAAGTCATCCTAGGTGTATATGACTTTCTTCTTTTGGACGAATCCAGTCGGAGTTATATTAAAAATTGTCTTTGATCTTTCAAGCTGTTTAATGCCACTCAGCGTGTGTTGCATGCATCAGTCCAAAAGAAGTTAAATAAAAAGTGCCCATCCATTAAAAAGTGAATCACACGGCTCCGGGGGTGAACAAAGGCCTCCTATAGCGAATTGATGCGTTTTTGTAAGAAAAATATTCATATTCAAAATGTAATTGTGACGAGTGGGGGCGGGGCCGAGAGCCATGGGAACAGAGCGAGGCCGGTGGAGTAATTGATAATGTAACAACGTTTGTAGTCACGGGAAGAAGGAGGCGGGAACCGGCGAACATTTAAAGAAAACTTTAATAAAATAAACAAACACAAAATGAAATTAAAGCGGCAGCCCCTCGCAGACGACTGCCGCACACAAAACACAAAATAAAATCCAGGCCTGGTCCTCTCTCGTCCAACACTGTCGTCACTCCTCCTTTTATCCTTCCGGAGCTCCTCCGTGGGACTCGAGACCGGTGGGTGGCGCAGGCATTAGCATTTACTCCACCAGCCTCGCTCCGTTCCCACGGCTCTCGGCCCCGCCCCTGTCGTCACAGTAATATTCACTTTAATTTGCAGATCCTGAGCACCAATAACAAACATCTAATCTTTCTAAGTCAAATGTGTGGTAAGCACTGCCGCTCCATAGTATAGAATCCTTGTGATCACGAATCTCAAAAGTGAAAGTGAAAGTAAAATGAGAGCGCGCAATCGAAAGCGGTTTCAATAGCGGCTCCCTGATGCCCGCAATTTATATACAGTCGCCTATACTTACCCAATGATATAATTGCGAGAAAAAGTATTGAAATATTTTTTTTATCCTCCCATCTCGTAGGCTATTTATTCCCTTTAGGGTTTCTGTAGTACACATAATTTCCTTTCCGAACACTGAACTGGGATGCGGCGGATTGCGGGAGAGGGGGGGGTGAAGGAATCACGATGTCAGCTTAACATCGTGATGGCTGTCAGCCATCGGCGTTGGACAATAGCATCGTCTATCGGCCCAACCCTACTTGAGGGTGAGTAATTTATGGGCTAATTTTCATTTTTGGGTGAACTAACCCTTTAATGTAATACAAACAGAATGATCCATTACTATTCTTATGACTGATTAAATATGAAATGTTTAAATCACAGGATATTGTAATATATATCCTACATTACTGCTTGAATATGGATGTCTACCATAGGGTGTTTTTGTTACGCATCAAGTACTTATCAAAAATAAAAAAGATTACTGACGGATACACCTCTTTGCCTCAGCAGCTATATTTGAGAATGATTTAGGTTATTCTTTATTCAGAAATCAATTTCACCTCTGTTAAACTCTTAAAGTGCTAATTGAGAGGGAAAAAATCACAGATATTGTGTTAACATTTGGTGACTGCTGCAGGGGGCTTGAGCATGTTATGGATTAGTTCTAAGTGATGATTTGTTTTAAGATGTGAATTAGACACCACAAATTTCATTTCTAAAATATTTAGTTCAACAAACAATCCTAATCCTTGTCACTGAGGGAGGAAAATCCAAAATGAGAACAATGCGACATTCTCTCAAAAAGACGTAGATACGTAATACTGACCGAGATCAATAACACTCCACTTACTTAGAAAAAATTCTCTAAACCTTCTTAAAACAAGTTAAAGTTATTTAAGAAGCAATTGTAAAGAACATTTTTAGTTTTATGCCTAAAACAAGAAATAATTGCCAAGCTTGATACCAGCTGGTTAAATGTTATTGCAAATATAGCATAGAAAAATTTTGTTAATAGAGGGTATGCACGTGACGTCACCGTCGGCCGGAGTGACTGCAGTTCCACCCACTGAGTGGCAAAAAGACTGAGTGGAAGCATTGGTTTTCAGCATGAATGCTGTGAAAAAAACACACAAAACACATCTAAAACAGGAAATAGCTTTACGATTGACTGTACAAATAGATTTAACAAGAAATCTGAAGTATATTTTTACAGACTGCCGAAAGCTACAGAAGAGAGAAGCAAATGAATCGCTGCAATTCACAGAAACAAATGGACTCCAGGCACAGAAACACGGATGTGCAGTTATCATTTTATGTCAATATGTTGAATTTTGCTGTAAAATCATACCCTATATATTGTATTGTTATATATTGTATTGACAACTCATCAATTAAATATTTACCATCTTATATTCTGCATAACTGGATGTTTTTAAACAAACACTGACAAAAACGATATAAGTTTTTGGGCTGGACGATATGACGATATATATATATATATATATATATATATAACATTGATATAAGTGATCACCCGCATTTAGACCAACCAATTTTGTATTAAATAAAGCGTTCACAGGCAAATTTGCTTTATGCATTTCCCCGGTGTCGCAATCAGCCACATATAAATGTCAGGAAACACAATTCCTGGCTTCATGTCAATATCCATGGACCACTGGATATTTGGTAAGTTGTAAGGAACACTATATAGAGTCCAACGACCTTTAGTTTAAACTGATAAGTGTTTGTTTTACTCGCGTTTGCGCAGTTTCCCCTATTAAATCAATTCATGCAGCAGGCTCTTTTGCCACTCAGTCCGGCTGAGGGGGCGTGTTCCAGCAGGAAAGTGACGTCAATGCATACCCCCTATTCTGAGAAAAGGTAGTTTCTTACCTTAAAAGGACAGTTCACCCAAACATGAAAATTACATCATTTTCTCACCCTAAAATTTTTCCAAACGTGCATGACTTTCTTTCTTCTGCAGAACATAAAAGAAGATATTTTGAGAAACATTTCAGTGTTTGTTTGTTTTTTTGTCAATACAGTGGACGACTGTTTAGTAACCAACATTCTTTAAAATATCTTCTTTTATGTTCTGCAAAAGAAAACCATACAGGTTTGACATGAGGGTGAGAAAAATGTTTTTAGCGGAACTATCCCTTTAACAGTTGTGTAGTAGCACCCGTACTGAGCTGTTTGAGGACACTTTGAATCCTTTACTTACCAGTTGTTAAAAAACTGTAAAGTTAAATTAAATTAACCTTCCTTCTAGTCCATAACGGACCCTTTCATAGGTGACATAGAGAGTTGATTCAGCTCTTAGATGCATGTTTCTTATTTTTAATTTCCAGTGAAATCAAAAAATGAAATGCAACCAAATACATGACAAACATATGCCATTTAAATTTCAGTCAAACAAGATTTTTACTCATGATTTAGTGACTTTGCTCTCAAGGCAAGAAATGCCACATCATCTCATGTTCAAATCAAAGGCTGAAATTCTAGAATTGTTTCTGATCACAACCATAAATAGTGAGGAGAATTCAGGTTAGGCTTTCACTAATAGGATTCTCACACACACACACACACTGCTGTACAACCCTGACCTTTGTGCTCCCATCTAATGCATGCATAGTAAATCATGCACATATACAGTATGCAGTGCTCAATGGCAAACATATATTTGCAGTTGTGCACATATGTAGTGAGGTCAGTTAGCCAATCTATAGTGGTTTTGTGGATAATTCACTTTAAAGTGAAAGAATTAATCCAAAGAAATCGCTTTTATTAAACAGATAAGGACTAATCAACAAATTACTGGAATAATTACAGGAATACACTTTGACCAATCTGCTTTAGAATGTAAAATCACTGTTTCCATGGATAATATTTCCTGCCTGGCAATGTTTAATCAGAGTCGCCAATGAGAGTTGGTTAATCACTACCTAATCATCTGATTAAAAGTAATTAATAAAATTTTCCTTAACAGACACACTCACCTTTTCACATTTGTAGTTGACTTTCTCTGACAGATTACTCCAACACTCCCGTCTGGGCCTGTGTCTAGGGTGATGTCCCATAGTAGTGTGTTGCTAGGTGTGGCTGTACGGAAGCACACACCCTTTTTTACCATGGCTCTATTAAGAGTAAAAAATTAAAATGGAAGGAATATCTTGATTAGATTTGGCCTAGTATCACTTTTAACAAATCTGTGAATTATGAATAGATTTCAGAGTGTTTAATAGTAAAACAAACAAGTTTGTTACTGGTTAAACTAATAACACAACATGTTTCACACTCTATCATATACAGTATTGTTATGACAAAGAATTTGAGTTGGAAAATCCAAATAATATACTGGGTATACTGTGATAATGTGGTGTACCCCAAGGCTTGATTCTGGGCCCTTTGTTATTTAACCTTTATAGGTTTAAACTGGTGTAATTAATCAGTGTAACATACTTTTATTAGTTCTTGCATTTTCTGGAAATCAAATCCTTGTCTTGGCATAGCTAGCAACATGCTCTGCTGTTTGAGCTACAGGGACACCTGTCAGAAAGTTTGTATTGTAAAATCATCTCAGAAAAGGTGGGTCTTTACATTTATCCCCTTTAAAGCACCACAGAAACAGGTAATATCTTACACATTTAGATGGATGCCATATTGTTATTTTGAAACTGTAATTGTGCACATTCCTAGTATTTTTTTTTATTGTGTTTCATTTATTACTGGTTCCATCCTCATTGGAGAGCAATGCTTGTGTTTCTATACATAGCAGATTTGCATGTGTGGGTGGATGTGTATGGCAGGGGGAGATGAGGCCAAAGGTGGTCTGTTCAAGGAGTGTAAAGCTGAGGCTGACAGTGTGGTTTCCAATACAGGGGCAAAGAAAAGGATGTTTGTCTCTGTTCCCTTACAGAGGACAGGAAATCAATGACATCTACATCAGGCCCAGTTAGCCAAGCCTGGACGGTCATGACAACCCCCCCCCCCTTGGCCATATATTGTACAATCCGAATGTTCGTCTGTTCAACATCAGCAGCTCTTAGAAGTTCATTTAAGGCCTTCTGTCTATAAAGTTCCTGCTCCTCCCAAACCTTTACAAACTGTCACACTGACCCCATATCACACTATAATCAGAATAATGTATCAATATAATTGATCATACAACTGCAACATTATGTACCCACGGGGAAAAGGAAATTTGTTAGCTCAATAGTGTCAAAATCCTGTTTAGCTCAAGGGACTATTAGAGCTCTGGGAACAGAATCTAAAAGCTTCCCGAGAACAAATACAGCCACACAGAGTGGCATAAAGGATATCAATATAAGCATAATGATAAAAGATTGTTAAAAAATATCACTGGTGCAAAATGCACCTTCCAGATTTCAGCACCCGCTAAATCTTTTGTAATGTCAGAGCCATATTTGTGTTTTCATCTGTTCCTGAAGGGTCTGTTTTTCTCCATGAGTGTCTGTCATAAATATTGGGGTTATAAAACTTCATAGGCAAGATATTAGTCTCACAGGGGCTGTATTGTAAGACCCTAGCTGCCTGCTTGCTTGACTGCTTGGTAATCTGGTCAGATTTGTTTAAGGGCATTTGAACACACACATAATCATGTTTGCAAACATATAAGCACAGGGAAGAAATTTATTATGTTGATTTTATTAATGAAAACAGTAAGATTTGTGTATTTTTTGCATGTAATACAGGGTTATTGTTATGTTGGGGTTGTTTAAAAAATGTGATCTTTGTGTTCAAGACTGTGTGTGTGTGTGTGTGTGTGTGTGTGTGTGTGTGTGTGTGTGTGTGTGTGTGTGTGTTTTGTGTAAGACCATCTGTACTCTGTTCTTGTAAGATGTAATCACTGTCTCGAGAGAAGGGCTCATGGGAGCACTAATCTTGGCATTGATAGAGAAGATTCTGGGACTATTCAGATGTAAGACCAGATTTGACCCTCCCTTTCTTGAACGAAAATTTGTAATCTCTCACAGTATCTCTTTTTCTTTTGTCATCTTTTCTTTGCAAGTTTCTGACTGTGCATTTTCACTCCTAGTACCAGATGCATCAAGTGAAGTAAGAAGGTTTCAAATGCAACATATTTCATAATGTTTTAATACTATAACTTTTGATTAGAATCATGTCATTATAAACTAACATCTAATTCCTATTTTGAAACACTACATGCTTGCATTATATTTTTGTGCTTGTGCAATAAAATATCTGTGGAAACAGTAAAGTGACAGTAAAGACAATTATAATGTTAAAAAAATATATATTTCAAATAAATGCTGTTCTTGTGAACTTTCTGTTCATCAGAGAATTCTGTAAAATTTTTAACATTGATAATAAGAACTATTATTAATAATAATGTTTATAATGCAGTAAATCAGCATATTAGAATGATTTCTGAAGGATCATGTGACCCTGAAGACTGGTAATGGTAATGGCTGCAGTTGCCATTATAGGATTACATTACATTTTGAAATATTCATAGAAAACAGTTATTTTAAATTGTAATAATATTTCACAATATTTCTATTTTTAATTTATTTTTAAACAAATAAATGCAGCCTCTGTGAGCGGCTACAACTGTTGCCCCTAAAAAATGTATGCAAGATGCCCCTTCACAATATGTTAAGTCCACACTTATCCCTCTCTGACAATCCCCGGAAATATATTTTCAAGACCGACATTTAACACACCAAACCAAATCAATCCATTTGACCTATGGAGACCAAACATCTTGTGAAACATCCATCCCAAATCATCTTCTGTCACTGTTGAGAACCTCACAGTTTTTTAGTAGAGGGTTTATCAGAGCAAGCTCGACATCTGCTATCACGAGTCCATTTGCGAGTCCTTTTTCAATTATCCATTAAACATCCCTGACATTTCACATAATGAATGTAGGCTTTGAAATGTCATGCACATACTCAAACACGTACAGAAAATGTCAGAGAACCATACTGAGAATATTAAATGACCAAGTAATGGAGAAAACACACAGATCCAGAATTAACACTCACCAAGTGCCAAATGTAAGGAACAATGGGATAAACAAAATGCCATTGGCTTATTCTGAGGAAATGCCATTTGTTTTCCATTTATATTTGCATTTCTGAGAAAATGCAAAATAATCTGTTAAACTATTTTATTCTTACCTGTCCCCCCAGTGAAAATAATGGTTTGATCTTTCTGGCATCATATTTGAGTGGAAATTATATGATCTGGCAACATACTCAAAGTGGGAATGATAGTTTGAATCAAAGATTCAAAATGTCAATTAAGAAAAGATCAGGGCCTGTATGTATAAAACTTCTCAGAAATGCTTTTAAGAATAGTCTTAAGCTTTGACTTAAGTGTCAAAAAGTTCTTAGTAAAAAGTAGGACTTGTCTAAGAGTAGGAGACTTGTATAAAGAAGCTAAAAGCAACTTTCAGTAAAGTCTAAGACTGATTTTTAAGTGTTGACTGAGGTGACACTTAAGTGTTGTGAACTAAGGACTACAATGATGTCAACCCAAAATGGCCCAAAAAATAGTGAGCCTGCTCATGTGAAGTCACAGCAGCACAACACCAATCATTTAATGTAACTATAATAACAATTATTTAATTAAGACACTTAAATATTTTAATATTTTAATGTATTTTTAAAAAATTATTTGAATTGTGCAAAATTATCAAAAATTATTACTGATGCTTTGAAATTGTTTTCTATTGGTATGTCTCCTCGTTTACAGTTGGAGCAATGATGTGAACATGAGTTCCATCAATGGCTCCAACAACTCCAAGAAAGCCCACAATCCTCATAAAAGTGGCTTGTTTTTACAGCATGGTTTAGCCGTCAGTTGGAAAGTCAATGAACTGCCTTATAGTAGTGGCCAAAAGTGATGTCTGGCCTAGGAAATTTGACATCTTTACCCTTAATTTAAAAAAAATGTTAAAGGTTTTGTAAGCATATTGCATAGTTCCTTAGAGTCAATTGATTTATTTGTGATAATAATGCAATGAAACATGCCAAATTGTGTGGTCATAATCTTTGGCCATGGCAGAAATCATGAACACATGCAAAAACAAGAGGACCAACCAAAATAGTAATTAATATCAATGTTGCCAATTTAGTAATTTTGTCACTAGATTTAGCGAATTCCTCACCCTTTTTGAGACTTTTTTCAAAAGTCTAGCAACAAATCAATTTCTTGGACAAACCTTATCTACATTCCAAAACTCTCCCACTGATCTATATTTATATTTATATAGATGAGTGAACGCGCCATTATGACGTAATCTAGCAACATTTAGCGACTGTTTTAGCTACTTTCATTTGAAAGCAGTTGGCAACAGTGGTCAGTGTTTTTTCCCTCGTATTTTGATGGCTTAAGTGAAATGTGGGGTCATAAAAAAAGTCACCAGTGCATGCATATTTCCAATTTTCCAGCCAAAAAATGTAATTACTACTTTCATTTCTGCAGTTAGAGCATTGATTTGTAGAGTGGAAGAAGCTATTAAATGTCTTACTTGGTCAGTTACAAAAAGAATTGACTATCTTGACGAAGTTTGTATCGTTTTATCAACGTCATATCATCATGTAACTCTAATACATAATTTCTTCATTGGATAGTGTTTCTCCTCCTCTTTGCTGCCATCTTGTTACTCCTAACTAGGTTAGGATACCTCTCCAGCTCTCTTAAATAATTTAGCTGAGACCTACTCTTAACACTTAGGAACCTTTATGAATCACTATTATTCTTAAGTCTAGGAATCAGAGTAAAATTACGCCATTCTTAGAATTTTGACACACTTAAGACTAAAATTTTACTCTGAGCGGCTTTATACATACGGCCACAAGTTTCATGACTGTAAAAAATATTTATGCCTGGAAATTTTTCTTAAATTATCATGCACATGGTCCGAAGTTGTCAGTTCCCAGGGATCCACGTTTGATACTTTTTGATTCAACCCGATTCTTTTTTGTGTGTGTGTGTGTGTGTGTGTGTGTGTGTGTGTGTGTGTGTGTTTTCTTTTAACAAACCCTTCCTGAATACTCCAAAAGCCTTACCATATCATTTCAAGTCAGAAGAGAAACCCAAATGAGACATTTCTAATTATTCTCACAGCATTTGAATTATGAAA